GATACGTCTGGTAAGTCACTGCAGCGAAGGGGTTTCTAGATGATCTTATCATTTTAGGGTCTATTCCAATTCTTTATTCTGAAAGCGCTCAAAATGCAGTCGCGGTATCTTGGTCGTCAGTGGAGGAAAAGCAATATGGACATCATGTCCGCGATCTATAACAAAGTACGGCATCGTATGACTGATGACTGGGCATTCGCGAACGAAATGCGAAAATCGTATGATTATCATAGTGAAGAGAGCGAACTAAAGGCTGCTGTTGAACGTTTCCATAGTCGGCGATATTCGAAGTTACATCCACAGCTTGCTATTGGTGAGCTGTTTAGTTTATTGACTTTATGTCCGAAAATTGTTATTATGTATTTTTCCTTTTATTTATATTTTATTTTCCCCACTTTTCTATTTTTATTTTCACACTTTTTTGTCTCTCCTTGTTCTTCAACTTCCTCATCACACCTAGATTGCTTTTGTTTCAGAAATCAGCGATGCTCCTATGCCAGGTGATGATTACTTAAATAGGGTCAATCTTCGCGACTATGAACCAGTTGATAATTGTCTCCATTCAGTCCTTGGAAAACAGCCGGAGCTAGGGAAGCGGTGGGATTTCATCCAGTTTTGAGTCTTCATGTAGTCCATTTTTTTTTACTTTTGAGCTTTATTTAAGATTCAAAAACAACTATCAAAAATGGATGGAAGAAGAAGTAATAAAAAGAAATATCGACTGGGATCGCCTCCTGATGAACACCAAGGGCATCGCGTTTTCTCGGGATGTTCCTTGTTAGGCAGCAAATGATCTACGAATCCGGTATCTATGTTCGTAGATTACCTTCGTGCTTTGATTATCGGATGATGCTTGAATCTCTAATGATTTGGAATAGGCTTGATCTGTTATCTCTTACATCATTTTCAGTTGTAAGTCGATAATCATACTGGTGCAAAACGTTTAGTGCAAATTGTTAACTATGTCTGTACGACCAATCTGTTCTCGCTCCATTTGCTAAATGAAGCCTATTGTTAATGTTACTCTCATCATCTTGAATGTGTAAACACCATCGCTTCGTAATGATGAAATGAAGTCATTCTCATTCTTGTTATACGGAATGCTTTGGTCGGTTCCTTGACTACTTTCTTTTGAGTGCTGGTGCCATTACGGGTTTTATTGGTGCTTCTACAGATGCTGACACGCATGCTGCCCCGGTTCGGTAGGCCACTGATAGTATTAACGGAAAGGAGGTTTGCTACGACTATGAATTTAGTGCTTGAATTTGAAACAATGGTTTTTAGCTTATCTAGCAAAGCAACAGCTCCAACTTCGCGAATACCGGCAGCAACGATAGGGGTGAAAAAGTCGAAACCGTTTGAGGCGTTACTCGAGGACTATGCGAAATTTCACTGGGATGACACTGTCACAGATAAAGATCCCTTGGTAAGTGATTCATTAGGCACGCGCCATACTTGATCCGCTTAATCCACTTG